TCCTTAACAGGAAAAAATGCTTTTTAGAAATATCCCGTATGTATGATACACAATGTAACCACGCATACTTTGATAGTAAATGTTGATTCAATCAAATATCAAGTTAACTCATCACAGGGTTTCATTGATAGTTTTTTAGGCTTATAAAAAAGATTTATAGACCTAGTACACCTAATACTATCCAAAAAATGACAAAGTTGGTTGAAAAAATGTCAAAAAATATCAAACTATATCAAACTATATCAAACTCAAAATTATAAATTATCAAAAGTTTTTGATTTTAGTTGATGACTTGGTAAGACAGGTATGGGAACCGATATTGATCCCTTGTTTTTCTCGGTTCATCTGAAATTCTTTCAACCACAGCAGAATATGGAACAGCTTCATCCATATCATCTTTACTTTCCGTAAATTTGAAGAATTTACTCGCCGGTTTTTTTTTTCAAAAATTTAATATGAAGCAGTTTTATTCTCTCGAACACTTCAACAACTTGACCAATCTTATTGACAACAGATTTCTTACCGGTGTCGGCTACAACTACCCATTGCTTTGGTTCAAATGGAATGTCAGTTGTTTTATCAGCTGATTCAAAAGAGTCTTCATCGTCATCTTGAAGTTCCATTTCAATTTCAGAATCATTATCTGATCTAAAAACTGCGACATCCATTGGTTAAAGGAGATGACTTGCATTTGGTACCTAACAGGTAAAAAGAATATTATTCAGTTGAGCGGCCTCAATGACTGGAAGAGAAAAATGAAAGGCAAGATTGTCACCAATAATGACTTTTGGTCCATGATCTTTACTAACGTTAGAAAGAAATATTTCTAGAAACCAGCGTTCGAAGGTTCTTGAGTCGAACCAGCCTGACTTTGTGTTGTCATAACAAGTTCCTTCTGGGCCACCTCTGGTCTATTCTTGATAAACATTTTGAGACTTATATACTACCATATGTGATAGGAATACTCCAATAGCATTTCCATAATACATGATGATTGCACAACTCTTTGAGTGTTGCATTTTGCCTTCGGCTCTTTTAAGTCCTCGTCTGCATATGATTAATTTTGCGCCAGGGTTATCCGAAAGATTAGTCTCGTCATAGTTATAAATGTTACAGGGTTCAGCACCTTCGAAGTAACCGTTCATCGGACAAAACAAGTGCAACCAAATAATGTTAATTTAGTTTCTTTATAAAAAAGTGGCGCATTTTTTCAATTTAGAGAAATAACTATGTAACTGTTTAGAGACAACGTTCTTCAAGTTTTGTTCACCACAAAGTTCATTATTTGTACACGAAAATTAATAAATTAATCAAAAGTATTAAAAAAAGTTGATTTCTGTCAGGACAAAACAAGTCCACAAAATGTTGACCAAGCTGTATTTTTCTATTAATATTTTCGTGGCGAATCCTTTGTTGTTGATTACAGCCTTGCATTGTAGAGGCATAGATTTGATCAGGTGATCAAATAAATCCGAAAGGCCTTGTGCCCAGGCCTTTTGGATTTATTCAAACAGTTGATCCTTATTACAAACGCCTTGATTCTGAGGTTGACGATCTCCCACAGGTTATTGATAGGGTTGAGATCCAGAGATGGAGGCGGCCAATCCATCACCAATCGGTGGTTGTCTTGAAACCACTGCTTGACTTCTTTTGCAGTGTGTTTTGGATTGTAATCTTGCTGAAAAATCCATTTTATTGGCATATTCCATTCAGCATGAGGTAACATAACATCTTCAGGATATTTTATCCATGAAACGGTCCATTATTCCATCGATTCGATCTATTAGACCTAGACCTTTAGCAAAAAAATATCCCCAGATCATTACATTGCCTCTTGCATGCTTCACGGTTTTATGGCAGTAACGTAAATCGAGGCGTTTTCCGGCCGGTCGATGTACACGGCAAATGCCACTGCTCCCAATGATGTTGAACTTCGGTTCATCACTTAACAGGAAAGTCTGCTTTTTCTGCACGTCCAGTCAATATGAGATGTAGCAAACAGGAGTCTTTTCTTCTGGTTCTTTAGTTAAATCAGCAGTTTCTTTGCAGGGCGTCGCGAAAATAATCCGACTTCAACAGCATGCCTCTAATTGTTCGGTTCGATACAGGCAGCTCCAATTGTTTTTGGATCTCGACTGATAATATCCAGGGATCCTTTTTGACGGATCTGAAGATCATAGAATCCTCTCTAGAAGTGGTGGAACGCGGTCTTCCACCTTTGTTATCTGTTGTCAACTTCCCCTTAAAACGATATTTGGAACATAGTCTTGATACGGTCCATTTTTTCACGCGATATTTATCACAAATACTTTTTTGTGACATTCCACTTACGTAATCGCCAATAATTTTCTTTCTTAGTTCCAATCCAAGACTGTCGGGAGCCATTTTCGCACTTGAAGTCATAAAAATAGTAAAAATAAATAATCACGCTTCTCAAGGCTTACCGTGTTACATTTACCTTGTGATGATACAATAATGCTCTGTGGAGCACAACGTCTTTGTTGGATGTGGACTGTATTGATGTAATGAAACACTTGTTGTATTTCACTTGCTGTATTGATATTCTTCGATAAAACACTTTGATAAAACTCACTTCGATAAACTGTCTTGATAATACTGACTGATTGGCTTCCATATACTGACTGAATTACATGTTAGTTTGCATGTCTCATATAGTAAAATGAACCTGTGTAAACCTGTTCTGAAAGATTCTAGATGCTTCTTTTCAATGGTTCTGGAAGCTTCTGGATGCGTCTGGATGCTTCTAAATGTTTCTGGTTACTTCTGGATGCTTCTGGATGATTCCAGATGCTTCTTCTGGAAACTTCTGGAAGCTTCTGCATGCTTCTGGAAACTTCTGGATACTTCCTTTAATTATTAAAAAACTTCCGTGACGTTGCACGGACCAGATATAAGAAAATAAAACAAACCAAAAAGTTGCATTTGTTTTGTCCGCTGCAAAATGGCACTTGTCAACGAAATTCTGCATGTGTGCTGTCACCTGTCAGCTGATTGCTCATGTCATGGCATGCTATGACTCAAGACTCCTGAATTGTTTGCTGTGGTAGTATAGTTTGTTTCGTTTTTAAGACATGTAAAATAAGGAACACTTTTTAGCATTGTGCGATGTTGGTTGCAAATGTTTTGTCCAATACTTTAGGTATTGTAATATATGCATATTTAATATAATACATTTATTTATATATTCAATACAACACATAGTATATAATTATATATTTTTAAATATGTAAAAGAGATTTTGAATTTGAAGAAGATTTAAAACATTTCGAGAATTTAAATTCATCTTTGTATATTTTTTATTCAAAATTAAAACAGAAAAACAAGTATAACAAGAAAGATAAATCAAAAAATAAAATTCTTTTTTTTTTTTAAGTGCAAGAGTGTAGACATTATTTATATTAAGTAAGTGTCTTTTATAGCTTTATTTTTATATATCAATAGACTTTATTTTTTTCATATTGTCGAACTTGGTTACAAGAGGACCACGAATGTAGAACTTGGTCAAAAACCGAGTTCGACAATTGTGGTCCTCTTGTAATTTAGGTCATATTTTTTTAAAAGTGTTAAGGAAATGTAGTAATTACTTATTGAGTGTCTTGTTTTATGTTTATTTAAGTTTTTATAACAATATTTTGGAATAAATTTTATTTCAAAGTTAAACATGATTAACAAGTTTTGGTAGAGATTAAGTTCATATAAATTAGAGCATTAAACTCCTTGAGTAACAGCTCGATAATTTCGTACCTATCTGCACAAAAGTAATGGTTAGCTTACTTTTGCTTTCTAAAAATATTGTTTTGGAAAGATAAATGATTGTTTGGCCAGGAAATACAATAGTTAATATGAATATGTAAAAATGAATAGTATAAATTTTTAAACATTTTTAAAAAGATGTTTTGTCTTGTACATAATTCCAAGAGTCAATGAAACTTTATTTTAAACTAACTTTTCTTAGCTTTTCCAATTTAAATGTTAATTGAAAACTATTCCAAGTATTTTCATGGAAAAACCCATTTTATTTTAATATTTTTAATTGTTAGTTCTGGTAGTTTAAATCGAAGGTGTTCAGATTTTGATGGTTTGCAAACAAAATATATTTAGTTTTATCAGTATTCAATGAAAGTTTATTTGCTTTAAACCACTTATTAAGATATAATAGTTCTTTTCTTAAGTAAAATTTTTTTCAAGTCTGAAAAGAAAACGTTAGTGTCTGAAAAGTCAAGTCTGAAAAGAAAACGTTAGTGTCGTCAGCAAAAATTATATAATTAGGTATTTTTGAGGACAAATAAATATCATTCATACAAATTAAAAGCAGCAAAGGTCCAATTGTTAATCTTTGTGGAAGACCGCAACTTATTAATTTAAATCTTGTGCATGTTAAATCATATGGTACTCCTTGTTTGCAATTTTCTAAATAATACTGCAGCCACTTTAAGTTAGAGTAAACTACTCCATAATTGCGTAGTTTAAAGATAAGAATCTTGTGGTTAACAGCATCAAATGCTTTAGATAGATCCAGAAGATTCCGAGTGTTTAACTATTGTTTTCAACACCATTCAAAATTCGATTATCAAGATTTCATGTTGCGTATAATGGTTTTTAGCAAAAACAAAACTGTTTATGATAAAGAGTGTTATTTTTTCAAGATAATTTTAAAGTCTGTTGTGCATAATACGCTCTAGTATTTTGGACAAACAGGAAAGTATGAAAATTGATCTATAGTTAGATTCTACAAAGTCAGGTCCCAGGGGACCTTTGTTAATGAGAAAAGCTTTGACAGAACTTTTGAATTTGAAAAAAAATCAAATATATTATGAAAAGTTATAATCTAAACTTAACTATTTATATAAAAATACTTTGAGTTTTCAAATTAATTATATTGGTTAAACTATTTATGTTACTTTCTTTATATTTATACTCTTTTATTCGTTTATTTGCGTTGATTCCTTCTTTTATATTATTTTGATATTTTCAAACAGATACTGAATAAAGCAAGATTTTGTGAAGCCATCATCTGTAAGTTTTGTTTCAAATTATTTTATTGTATTTTACGGAATAGTCTAATCAAAAGTACTTTTGCTTATGAAAATGTTGTAGAAAAATAGTGTTAATTACATCGATTATTTAATTTCTATGTTCTAAGTTTTATCAACTTTTTACAAAAACTATTATTTGGTTATATTGTAATTATTAAAATCAAGGTTGTTTGTTTAGATAAAATATGTTTAATAGTTTTATATATATTTTTTTAAAGAACTTTTGACAGCTTTTTTCAGTTACTAAGAACAATATCTGTTATGTAAACTTTACTCTTTTTGCTAGTAATCGGAAATGTCAAATGATATTTTTTGCAGTATTGCGGTAATTAAAATTAAAAAAAAAATAATATGGTGAAATAATTTAAATAGTTAAAAATTGGCGGTAACTGAATTGAGGAAAGAAATAGAACTCTTTTATAATTAAGTAAAGGTTATTGGCCAATTTGTGATAGGCCTCCTGTGATAATTTCTGTGATTCTTTATAAGGCCAGAATCTATATAAATAAAAAAAGTTTTATCCCAACTTTATTATGCATTCATTCATAGCTATATGAATTATGCAAGTATTGCTTGGGCAAGCACTGAAAAAAGTAAGTTACAATCTCTCTATCGCCGTCAGAAACATGCAATACATGTAATTATTTTTGCTGATCGTTTTTCTCACTCTAAACATCTTTTTTCTGAAATAAGAATACTTAATATTTACGAGCTTAATATTTTTAATATTTTATGTTTTGTATATATGTAAAAACAATCTTTCTCCTGCCGTTTTTAATGATTTAACTACTTTGAAACCTACCAATAAATACTCTCTAAGAAATAACAACCTTCTATATGAGCCTTTTTGTCGAACAAGTTTTAACCAATTTTGCATTGATTATCGTGCACCCCATCTTTGGAACAAAATTGTTTTGCCTAATTTTAATTTTGATTTACCTACTTCGTTGCATCTTTTTAAAGTTAAGCTGAAAAGTCTTTTTCTCTCCCGTATTATCAAAATTTAACAATAATATTCATATTATGGAAATATTTATTAAACTTTATTTTATATACTACAAAGTGATATATGTATGTATATTTTATTTTTATTTTGTTGTACTTATAGTTACTTTATAATATAACATTTTGTTTACACTAGTATAAGGTTCTGACAATAAGATCTTACTGATCTTCTTTCAGATACCTAGTTTTTCAAATGTTAGTAGTATTTGCTTACTTTATAATTTGTATTAATTTTTTTATTTTCTCTCATTATATTTTAAAAACGAACTAACAAATGTAAACTAAAATATTAAAAAAAATAAAAATAAATAAACAAATAAATAACCTAACTCGTTATATGGTATGGAGAAGATGTGAATAATTAATGGTTAGGGTATTTATAATATAATAGCCCCTACCATTTAACCTAATAAAAAAGCAGACATAGGATACGCCTGTGTTTTTTCCGCCTGTGATCCACATAAGGATTATTATTTTGTCCTATATGGGTTTTAAGTGTTAATCCCACAAAAGGTATAAAAAGAAAATACCACAAATTTTATATTATAGATATTAAATACCAGTTAAAATTTTTATCCAAATGTTATAAAAAGTTGTCGATACTAGATAAATAAAAGACTGAATGCTTCATAATAATTTTCAAACACTTGTAAAATTAAAAATAGTTATCGAAGCTGTCAGAGAGACATATTTAAATCGTATTCGCTAGTTATCTATCTTCTATGCAATTAATTTTTTGTGGCAATATTTATCTTTCTATATCTCATGCTTTCCATTTCAAGAGTTACCATGAACAATAATAACAAAGTTCTTCGAAAAATGAAATTCAAAATAAATTTATTGTTAAAGAGTTTCAATTATTAAATATTAAAGATAATTTCTTTTTTTTTAATTATTTTATGTGCCCTAAGAAGCACATCACAGAGCATTGCGGATGAGCATTTAGTTAGAAGTTCACGCCGCCTTCGAAACCGATGTCGCAAAACTTCCCCAGAGGTGGAGTTTAAACCACGGATCCTTTGTTTCTGAGACAAGTACACTACCAATGCGCCAGGGCAACTGAGATAATATTGAAAATATTATTTGATTTTTTAATAATTACACGTTTTCCTTTGTCTAATTAGTTTATGAAGTAAAATTGCCCCTATTCGTTCAAAAACAAAAGTTTCTGACAGTTCTTAACACATTTTCTGAAAATAATAAAATAAATTTTTTTGAATAGAGTTCTACATAATACCCTTAATCAATCTATATTGAAATTAAATTTTCTTAAATTTAAATTTTTGCTTACAATATCTTAAAATAACTTATATCTAATAATAATGACTTTAACACAGGGTTTCCAAAAAAGCGCATTTATAAAAAATGGCGGTTTCAGTTTTAATGAATAAAAAAAAAAAATCGCGGTTAACCGTGGTTTTCGGTGTTTTTTGTTAAATAATGAAATTTAAGTAAGTTTGTCTTACTTAATTGTTAATTAAAAAAGTTATTTACAAAGTGTTTTAACATTATGTTACATAAATCAAGATGAATTGCATGGTTAAAGCAAAATTGATTAACCTTGCCCATTAAATGTACGAGCTTCTTGTAGATTGGTTCACCATCTTAAATAAAACCTACACATCTCTTTTCATACAGACAACAAATGAATTAAAATGACCCTTACCATTTACCTTACCATTTTGTAGGAAACTCTTACCATTTTGTATGAAACTCTTAGCTAGACAAGAACCATAGAAGAAGTGAACCAAGAACAAAAGAATACAAATAGAACCATGAACAAATCCTAATGAGACCAGTTTTATTATTATTTTTTAATTTTATATTTTTTTTAATTTTATATTTCGCTGGTAAAATAAAATACAGATGAGTTTTACATGATAAATATCAGTAAATAAAATATTTAAAAAACAGACGGAGACTCAAAGAAGATATTGATGATCTAATATCACCTCAATCTTTTCATAGAGCCCCTTTATATAATAAATATTGATATTTCAAATTATAAAATATTCAAAAAGAATAATAAAAATCCAAGATATAAAAGTAAAAAAAAAAAAATAAAAAATAAATAAAATAAACAAAAGATATAACAAGAAACTTATTTAAAAAAATAAAAAGATATTTTGCAATAACTATATTGCAATTTTAGGTATTCAAAGAAATAAGTACAAACATATACAAAAAGATTAGATAATTAATACATTAAAATAAACGTATACCATTAGTAACTACTAAGAATAATAAGTATTCATTTGAATAAATTTGCAAAATTGTTTTGGAATTATTATTCCGCAAATTTAAAAATGTGTTTTCTTTGTTTGAAACTTAAATGAGTTTAACGATTTTACCATATTTGCATTAGTTTTTTGAAAAGATTTCCATAACTAGGTCCTCGATATACTATTGAATATTCTGTATATTTATTTAGTTTCTTTGGCAGTTTAAAGGAATTTGATCGATTTGTTCTTAAAGAATACTTTTCATTTAAATTTTTTTCAAACTTATAAATAAAATTAGCTGGAGTTAGGATATTAATATATTTATTCATGAAAATTAGCTGATAAAAATTTATTTCGCATTTTCATATTTCTCTTTAAAGGTTTCGTATGCTCTCTTCTTTTTTTTCCCGTAAATAACTCTACACGCATGTGATTTTGCTAGCTCTTGATTGTAAATATTTAATATGGAGAAGCCAAGATAAATTATTATCAACATTTATTTATGAAAACTTTATATAGTCTTATTTTTTTATTTGTATGTTATTTAAAAATAGGTCTGGTAATTTAAGGGGAAGATTTTCTTCTTGCATTTTTTTATGAAATAAGATATACTTTGTTTTTTCAACGTTTAATGAGAGTTTATTTGCAATAAACCAGTCATTTATCTAGTTTAATTCAAGGTTCATTTCTGCATAAAGTTGTTTGATACTTTTGTTGGAAAAAAAAGGTTTGTATCATCCGCAAACATAATTAGGTTTAACTTTACTGATGCATTATTTAAGTCACTCACATAAACTAAGAATTAGAAAGGACCAAGTATTGATCCTTGCGGTACTCAACACGGGATTTTAAGTATTCCGTATTTTTGATTTAGAACATATTGTTTTTCTACCCGTGAGATAACTTTTAATCCAATAGTAAACCTTATAAGTTATTCCATAATGCTTCAACTTTCCTAACAATATACAATGATCAACAGTGTCAAAAGCTTTTGAGAGATCGATAAATATACCTAAAGTAAATTTGTTTTCGTTGAAGCCATTATTTGTTTGATCAACTAATTCAATAATCGCATGTTCAGTTGAATGATTTTTCTTAAATCCAAATCGTTTTGAATAAAAGAAATTGTTTTTAGTAAAATGGTCAAAGATTCTATTATAAATTACACGTTCGAATATTTTCGAAAATACAGAAAGCACTGATATAAGCCTGTAGTTGGAAACGTTAGAATTATCATCATTTTTATAAAATGGAAATACTTTTGCTATTTTTAATACATCAGGAAATACCCCTTAATCTAAAGATAGTTTTACTATATAAAATAAGGGTTTACTAAATAATTTTTTAATTTGCAATAACTATGTTTAAGGCTGTATCATCGAATCCCGTTAATTTATTCTTTTTTAAGGAGAAAAAATTTTCAAATTCTTTTAATGTTAAATCAAAGTCATGCAATATTTTGTCGTCTGATCGCTTTTGGGTTAATGACGAGTTTGTTATAATTTTTTTAGCAAGATCAAATCCTACATTTTTAAAATATTTATTAAACTCCTCAGATATTTGTTTAGGGCATATTATATCAGTATTTTTGATATTGATTCTTTTAGGTATCAAAGAATTTTTATTTTTATTTTTATCTATTAAATCATTTATTATTGACCTTTTTTTTTTATTATCTAACTTACACTTAGTAAGTTGTTTGCTGTAATATATTTTTTTTAGTTTTTTTAAGAAGATTGGTATAAAAGTATTT